CAGCCAACAGACACATGAAAAAATGCTCATCATCACTGGCCATCAGAAAAATGCATATCAAAACCGCAATGAGATACCATCTCACACCAGTTAGAATGGCAATCATTAAAAAATCAGGAAACAACAGGTGATGGAGAGGATCTGGAGAAATAGGAACACTTTTACACTGTTGGTGGGACTGTAAAGTAGTTCAACCATTGTGGAAAACTGTGGCAATTCCTCAAGGATCTAGAACTAGAAATACCATTTGACCCAGCCATCCATTACTGGGGATATACCCAAAGGATTATGAGTCATGCTGCTATAAAAACACATGCACACGTATGTTTATTGTGGCACTATTCACAATAGCAAAGACTTGGAATCAACCCAAATGTCCATCAGTGACAGACTGGATTAAGAAAATGTGGCACATACACATCATGGAATACTATGCAGCCAGAAAAAAGGATGAGTTCATGTCCTTTGTAGGGACATGGACGCAGCTGGAAATCATCATTCTCAGCAAACTGTCACAAGAACAGAAAACCAAATACTGCATGTTCTCACTCATAGATGAGAATTGGACAATGAGATCACTTGGACACAGGAAGGGGAGCATCACACACCGGGTCCTATTGTGGGGAGAGGGTTGGGGGGAAGGATAGCGTTAGGAGATATACCTAATGTAAATGACGAGTTAATGGGTACAGCACACCAGCATGGCACAAGTATACATATGTAACAAACCTGCACGTTGTGCACATGTACCCTAGAACTTAAAGTATAAAAAAAAAAGAGACCCACACTTGTGGTATGGATTGTTGATAGCTTATTTTTTAGTATATTCAGTTTTTAACATGATTAATACAAAAGTTATGGATTTATTTTCAGGTTTGTGCAACAAAGAAGGGTATGCAACAGGCTGCTTCTATTCTTGTGAAAGATGCTAAATTTATTATGACTGTGGTACAGAAACAGTGGTATAGTTTTTCATTTTTTCATGGAAGTAGAAGGACTTTTAGGGCTCATCTAGATGAGATGAGAAAATTAGGCTTGTCCCATAACCTTGGGGTAAACCTCAGTGTCCTCATCTATAAAATAAGGATAATGGTAATTTTGAGGATTAAGTGAGATAATGAATCTTAGTGCAGGGGTGATCCAGATTTCTTGAATGATAAAGATCATCCATACTGATAATCTGATGGTCAGATTTCTTGAATGATAAAGATTATCCATATACTATCTATTTTTTTAACCTAATTTCAATCCAGCATCTTTTATAGTCTTTCACTAAAGCTGATCTTGTGAATTAATCTTTAAGGACTTTCTATCATATTTGGCCACTTCCACCTTACTTAAACACTCTGGGCTCTGTGCTTCTGTGATCATTTCTACTGATTTTCTTCCTACTTTGCAGACTGCTCATTCTCAGTCCCTTTTCACCTCTTCTACCCAACTCTTAAATGTTGACATTCAAGTGAGTATATCTGAGGTTCATTCTTTCTAATTCCACACTCTTAGTTGTTTGTAACTACTCACATGAACTTCAAATAATATTTATGTGTGTCTATGCATTCCCACATTTATGCCTTCAGCCCAGGCTTCCCTATTGAACTCCAGGCCTATAGTCCATCTGTGTAACTGAATCCAATTGTATGTCTACCGACAGTCATCTCAAACTCAGTATGTACAAAATAAAACCTTGGTTCTTGCCGTCAGACCAGCTCCTTCTCCAGTGTTCCCCATCTTAATTATACATTATCTCCCTAGTTACTCATAGCAGAAAACTATCACTGATATCTTCTTCACCTTATACCTCATAGGCAATCAATTACAAAGTCCTGTTTATTCTTACTTCTAAATATATCTCAAATATGTCATTTTGTCTCCATCAACACTGCCACTTCCCTAATTCAAGTCACTATTAATCTCTTGCCTAGGCTGTATCCTTTTCTTTAATTACTACACACACACACACACTCTTATCCCGCTTTGTTCTCTGCATAGCATAGATTGTGTAAGATTGCAAATCTAAATGTCAGTTTCCTGCCTAAAACCCTTTAATAGCTTCTTCTTGTCCTGGGGATTAAATGCTAAATCCTTAGTGTGGCCTGCAACAGCCCATATAATGTGATGCCTCGCCAATTCTCCAGACTTATCATGACCATTCTCCCCCTTTACTCACCACGGTCAAGCTGTATTGGCCTCTCTGTTCTGTGAATGCACCAAACTGTTACTCTGTACAGCATCGTCTTGCATCATGCTTTCTTTTACTGGAATGGTTTTTAACCTAACTCCTGTTTATCCTTCATGTCTAAACTTTAATATCAGTTTTCCATAGTCATCAGTTTCCCTGTATTTACTTTTATAAGCAACCTGTACTTTATTTCATAATACTCACTATAATTATAATATCCTTTTAATACTTATTTTAATATCTTTTCCATTCATTAGATTATCAACTTCTTCAGGAAAGGGGGACTCATGTTCATCCTGCTTACCACTCAATCTTAGCAGGTGTGTTAGGTCATTCTTGCATTGATATAAAGAAATTTCTGATACTGGGTAATTTATAAAGAAGAGAGATTTAATTGGCTCACAGTTTTGCAGGCTGTACAGGAAACATGGCACCAGCATCTGCTCGGCTTCTGGTGAGGCCTTGGGCTGCTTACAGTTATGGCAGAAGGCAAAGGATGAGTTGGTGTTTCACATGGTGAGAGCAGGAGCAGGGGTGGGGCGGTGCCATACACTTTTAAGCAACTAGATCTCACAAGAACTCACTCACTGTTGTGAGAACAGCACCAAGCCATTAGGGATCTGCCCCCGTGATCTATTCACCTCCTACCAGGCCTCACCTCCAACACTGGGGATTTCAATTTAGCGTGAGATTAAATGGACAGCATCCAAATTATAGCAGAAGGTCTCAGCGGAGTGGTAGCACATGATTACTATGTAATGAACATTGACTTATTATTATTGTTAATAACTTCTGGAAATCAGTAAATACGTTTAGTGGTAGACCTCAGACTAAAATGGGACATGTGGATATGAGCAGATACTTACTTTTCTGCCTAATTTTATATGGTGGGGGAATATACTTCTCTCTGCTTTGGGTCAGATCAGCTTTCCAGTTACTTTTCTGTTCCTTTGCCACCACCTCTGGTTGCTTGTCAACCAAAGACACGTAGCAAGCCTAGAGGAGCCAATTTAGTCTTCTTTACATTCTTCGTTTTTTTTTTTTTTTTTTTAAATCCACTAAAAAGGTAGACTATAAAGATAGTCTATTAAAGCATTACAAACATAACCACTTATTCACCCTCTAGATACTATTTTGACACTTTTCCTTCCATTTGAAGGATTTAACTTGATCTTCTTAGTTACTACCATATGAAAAAAAATCTCTAGGATGTGAAGACTATAGAGTAGTTCTTTTATAATACACATCAACAAAGCAAGATTAAGCAATAAGAAACAGTAGAGAGCAAGACAGAATGAGAAAAACCAACAAAGAGCTCACAGCCAAAAAGTAGATGAAGTCTGAGAGGTAGATAGAAAGGGAGAAAGTGAAATTATTGCTACAAAGGTAAGAATACCATCAAATAATGATTAATAATTTTCATACCAACTGCATGTAGTTTTATAGCATTCTTATTAATTTTCTAAGTTTTTAAAACAAAGATGGGGTTTCAAAAACATTGACCAGTTCATTATAAAACTAGTAATAGAATAAAGGTAAACTGGGATTTTTAAAAAAGTGTAGGTATAGGGCAGAGAGGTTATAAGTAGCTATAAACAATTTGAAGCTTTCTACTTGTTGGGTGAATAAACTAGATGATCAGGTTGGATCATATCACTTTTTGTCAGAAACAAGATGTGGGGATCAAGTAATGAGACTTGTTTTCTTGCTCATAAACTTAACTCTGAAGGCAATTTTGAAAGACTTATGGAATTCTTTGTGCAATGGCGACATCATTCACATAGAAATATCTGGTGTCCTAAGGTGAATACATAATAATTAACATTTTTGAACTGAAGTTATCTATATGAGTAGGAAACTGAAATACACTATACATTCCCTTAAATCTAATGTACATTTCATCCTCTCCCTTTATTCTGTTGCACACAAATTAGCTAATTTTGTTTCAGATAATCGTTTTCTTGCAAGCATATATCTTAATTCCTTTTCTCATTTCCCACTCTTACCTGGTTACTTCTTTCTTCAGTCTTTGCTCCTTATTTTTTCTTTATCTCCTTGTTTTTTCTTGTTGTTTTTTTTTTTGTCGTTGTTGTTGTTTTTTCAGGAACATACTGGAGTTAGAGAGTCAGATTTGAATTACAGTACTGCTACTTTTACTAGCTGTGTACTATTGGGTATATTACTTAACTTCTCTTACCTTCAATTTCTTAATCAATATTGTATACATGAGAATCAATCATCTCACCGTGTTTCTATGATAATTAAGTAAGGCAACATTTCTAAGATACCTAACAGTGGGTAGCAGAGTTTGTACTTAATAGTAATATGCCCTTTCCTCTTGCCTTATCTTATTTCCATTATGAATCTGTAAAAAAAGTCATGAGTATTATAAAAGTAATTCATCCTAGTGTCATATCTGCAACAAGGAAATAGAAAAATACTAGATTTTTTATATACTTAAGAACCAAGCCTACCAACTTTCAAAATCTTTTAATGTACCCAGAATTCATTTTCAAATTATCAATACACTTCCTTAATTTGCTCTTCTCTTTTAACTTAACCTAGTTCTTTTTTAAAAAATAAATTTTATATGCATATTTGAGGTTTACAGCATGATGTTATGTGATTCATATAGCTAATAAAATGGTTACCATAGTGATGCAAATTAATATATCTCTCATCTCATAGTTATTTTTTTGACAAGAGCAGCTAAATCTACTTACTTAACAAGAATCCCTAATCCAAAATAATTTTATTCACTGTAGTCTTTATGTTGTACATTAGGTCTCTAGACTTGTTCACACTATATATCTGCTTTTCTGTGTATCCTTTGACCTACATCTCCCCATTTCTTCTCCTGTTCCCACCCTTCCTGCCTCTGATAGCTACTATTTTATTCTCTATCTCTGTATATTTGATTTTAAATAAAAGGTTTCACATATGAGTGAGAACATACAATACAATATTTTTCTTTCTGTGACTGGCTTATTTAATTTAGTGTCTTAGCAGTGTCCTCCAGGTCCAGCCATGTTGTGGCAAATGGCAGCATCTCATTCTTTTATAAGACTGCATAATATTCCGTTGTGTGTGTGTGCATGTGTCTGTGTGTATACTATGATGCATATATATGATATATATACACACACACACCACATTATATATCATATATATATTATATACCACATATATATATCATATATATATACACACACACACACACACACACACCACATTTTTCTTATGTATTAGTTCATCAGCGGACCTTTAGGCTGTTTCCATATCTTAACTATTATGAACAGTCTGCAAGGAACATGGGAGTGCAGATATCTTTATGAGGTAATGATTTCTTCTTTGGGTGTATACCCAGAGAACAGGTTGCTGGGTAATATGGTAATTCAATTTTTAATATCTTTAGAAATCTCAGTAGTGTTTCCATAATGGCTGTACCAATCTGCATTACCACCATAGTGTACTAGGATTCCCTTTCTGCACACCCTCACCTACATTTGTTGTCTATAATATAGTGGTTTTAATTTACATTTCCTGATAATTAGTGATGTTGAACACCTTTTCATATACCTGTTGGCCATTCTTATGTTGTTTTTTTCTTCCACTTGTAAGTTTAAGGGTACCTGTGCAGGATGTACAGGTTTGTTATATAGGTAAACATGTGACATGGTGGATTGCTGTACAAATTATCCCAGAACCTAGGTATTAAACTCAGCATCCATTAACTATTATTCCTAATGCTCTCCCTCCCCAACCTCCCCAACAGATCTCAAT